CGACATTCTCGAAAATGTCCTGCAGCGAAGGGAAATTCGTTTTCAGGCCCGTTCAGTTAATGATAAACGGACGCGATTAAATGAGCAAATCGTTTAATTATAAGTCCACTTAATGCCAAGCGAAAAGCCAAAGGCTCTATAGGCGACATTTGCTGGCAGAAGCAGGGGGGCATGGAGATATGGATTGGCAATTTCGATTGCCTTTAGCTGGATTCGGGAATCATGACGCGACAATTTGACAGTCGCAGGGACCCAAGAACACTCGACATGGCCTATAGCAACAATATGTCAATGCGATTTGGCAATGATACGGCAGGCTGTGTGAAAAACCGCCTGCTTTTCCGCCCACTCCACTTTAGGTTTTCCCCAAACTGCCAGCAGTCAAAATTCATTGTGCAAGACGACTGCTGCCTTTGGCAGTTCTTTCTGAGGAATCACAATACAATTGAGGATGGCAGTAGGACTGCAGATCCGTCAACTGACCCACCTTCGACGATTTTCCATTTAATTACACGGAACATGCACTCAAAAAAAACAGGATCACAAAAAAATATGAGATGTGATAAAATGCAACAAAAAAGTCTAAGGCTTAAATTAAGTTTTATAGAACGTACGATTTAAAAAACATACTTGTTAAAATATCGGCAGTTTACTAATGATTAAAATACATTTTTATGGGAGGTACGAATTTCAAAACCAATTAAGACAAATAATTACAGCTTACCAAGGTATTATTTTTAAAAATATTATAGAATTGAGATAAACTTGATTTTTTGAAATATTTTTTTACAATCAAAATGGACCTTATATTTCTGTTACATAGATTTTTTGGTCTTGTTTTAAAGTTTTTTTTAAGTGAATATTTATTTTCTTTGAGTGCTTTAATGAGTCGCTTCACTGACATGGTCATCTGCAGATCAGTCCAAAAATAGCAAAGTAAGTCCAGAAAAGCACCATCGAAAAAGGGATTCCATGCGGGCTTAAATTGCCATCATCGCGCTGAACGCATGTCGGAATCCGAGCCTTGTCATGAGTCAGGATTCATGACCTCGCAACGCTTTGACTGACAGCCTAGTCTCAAAATGTAAAATCAATGCTCACACATCAAGTCCTTTCCAAAAAAAAAACACCCAACGCTGACACTGACTTGACTGATTTTGCAAAGCTTCGCCAGTGACTGATTTTCGAAATGTTTAAAGTTTTTCATTAGTTGTGTAGAAAGGCTTTGAAGTGTAAGCTTTTGAGTTGGATATACACATGTTCCAATAAATATTTGTACTTTTTGTTAATTAAAAGTTTTAAAAAACTTTAAGTTTTGTCTATCTAAAAGGACCAATTTTAAAAAGATAAAATATATAATATTAGCCTATTATTATTATTGTAACTATTAATTTGTTTAATTTCTTTAAACAAAAATGATTTTTTACTTCAATAAATTTCAAAAGTTTATATTTCAAACATAAACATTTAGGTCATTCTATATTCCATCAATCTCGATCTCACTCTAATCCACTTAGTTTGTCACTCGCTGTTAGTTATAAAATCAATTTTGTTTTAGCCAGTTATTTTTAAATTAAAACATAAAAAGCCAATAAAAAAGAGGAAAATTGATAGCACCAGGACAATGGGGAAAAACAGTTTATATTTATTTGAATTCGTGCTGACAGAGTGACAGATCCGGGCCGTCCAAATATTTAATTTAAATCAGTGTCACTGGCCATTAGGCGAATTGAGTGGAGATGGACGGATGTCCATGATCGGGCCAATTGTAAACTGGTTAAATAAAAATACACACAGTGCTAATGCAAATGTAAATGGGACAAAACCTGGTGAAATCAAATTTAAATCCAGATTTAATAGCTCTCCTTCCAGCAAAGTCAGTCTTGGGAAGAAAGGAAGAAATTAATCAGAGAATGGTGAGGGAAGTGGAAGGAAAACAAACCTGCGTGTTACCACCTGAGAAGCGACTCTTATGCGGCTGTTTTTGCTTTTGTTTCATTTGCCTGAAACTACATACATGGGAACCACACGGAGAGGCTGCTGGATTGCGGAGCCGTTTACGTGTTTTCATTTAATTTAAAACATTTTCTTTGCCGAAATTACATAATGCATCTAGTGCTGTTCTCTGGCATGAAGGCCTTCTAAATACACACCGAACTCTTTAAACTGACGGCAATAATTACATGCTTAATGCACTTGAAGAATATGAGCAAAATATATAATTATTATAAGGTTCCTTAATTCCTCTGCACACGTTAACTGATATTAAAACAGTACAAATCGATAATAAACATATTTTTATTTTGTGTATCAATTATGTTATTTTTGTGATTGTATAATGGTATTACTTTACAAATTATAATTGCCCAGTTAATGGTTGCAGAATATGATATTCTTTATCTTATATTTATTGGGATTTTAATGATAATATAATATATTAATCATTTTGATTGAGATAATAAAGTTTGGGGTTGCAAAGAAAATGTTTAAATTCCATATTACCTGTAACCAAAACATTCAAAAGATAATTCAGATTTTCCTTTTCTTTTTTAAGAATCAACGATTATCAAATTATTTGGATCGATAAGGGGCTCATTATCAATGAGGGTATACTAGAATCGTTCGCGAAATACCTGAAAGTGGTTGTGAAATGTTATACGGCAAGGTGTCTAGCACAACAAACGCGGAAAATGCTACTTGGCTATCGGAGGCAATGTGATGTGTCACTTAAAGTCAGCTAGTTTTTAATTTTAAATATAAAGCTCAGTCATCGAGTTTCTTTAGTCTGTCTGCTGTTACCGGTCCACCAAAATGGTTCACAAGCCCAGTACATTTTTATTCCTGGCGATTGCTATTGCCACCTTAGTCGGTGGCTCCCATGGTGCCAATATCCTGGGTCTCTTTCCGAGCCTGAGTCCCTCGCACTTGATCATCCAAATGTCGGCGGCCAAGGTTCTGGCCGAAAAGGGTCACAATGTGACTGTGGTCACGGTTATTGAGCCAGTGGTGACCCACAAAAACATACATCTGATCCTGGTGCCCCTCACCAAGGAGGAGGCGCAGCTGATGAGCGACGGAATCGGATCAATGTCTAAGAGCGATAATAGAAACATGGCCTTATCCATGCTCCAAGCATTGGGACAAATTGACTTTATTTTCAAGAAGAATGCCGAAATCCTGATGGACGATCGAGTGCGGGATCTGTATCTGAATAAGGACAACAAATTCGACGTGGTTCTCTCTGGATACTTCTTGAACGAAGTCCAACTTGGACTCGCTAGGAAGGTGAACGCCCCGGTTATCGTCGTGGGAACATTGCCGCCAAACCAACTGATGAATTCCTTGATCGGTAATCCTCTGGAGGTCGCCTACGTGCCCCCAATGGGCGATTCTGTGGAAAGAGGCAGGGCCATGAGCTTCTTACAACGATTGACTGGATACACATCAAGCCTCTTCTTTGGAATTGTTACTTACCTTACGGACAGGCGCAATCGGAATTTGTACGAGTAAGTAGAAAAGGAGTTGTGAAATTCAAAAAGAATAAACTTGTAACATATTTATCATTTTCAGGGATGTTTTTGGTGATGATCCCAGCATGCCCGAGTACTCGAAAATTATCAAAAACACTTCGTTAATATTCTATGCCTCTCATGCGCCCAGCGAAGGACCCATCCGACCCAATGTTCCGGCTGCCATAGAGATCGGAGGCATTCAAATCAAGGACACGCCGGATCCTCTGCCCCAAAATATGGCAGACTTCCTGGGCAACGCCACAGATGGAGCCATTCTCCTGTCCCTGGGTTCCAATGTTAAGGGAAGCCACCTCAAACCAGACACTGTGGTCAAGATGTTCAACGTGCTGTCGAAGCTGAAGCAAAGGGTCATCTGGAAGTGGGAGGATCTGGAGAAGACTCCCGGCAAGTCGGACAACATTCTCTATTCGAAGTGGCTTCCGCAGGACGACATCCTGGCCCACCCGAAAGTGAAGTTTTTCATTAATCACGCCGGAAAAGGTGGCATAACTGAGGCACAGTATCACGGAAAACCCATGCTTTCTTTGCCAGTTTTTGGAGATCAGCCCGGAAACGCGAACGAAATGGTCCAAAAGGGTTTTGGCCTCACTTTGAATCTCCTCTCCCTGGAGGAACCGACATTCCGCGAGGCAATCATGGAGATATTGTCCAATCCCCAGTACACCCAGAAGGTGGCCTCGTTCTCCTCTTTGTACCGCGATCGCCCAATGACCGCTAGGGAATCAGTGGTCTACTGGACGGAGTATGTCATTCGGCACCATGGAGCAGCCCACCTGCAGAGTCCTTTGGTGCACATGAACTGGATAGCCGCCAACAACATAGATATTTATTTCCTGTTCGCAGTCATACTGGTTATAAGTATACTGCTATTTAAGACGGTGGTTAAATTTATCCTACGAAAGTTCTTCTCGAAGTCAAAGAAGCAAAAAAAGCAATGAATGTTTTCGAAATCGTTGACACAGGCAAAAACTAGTAAAAGTACTTAGTCTTCACGAAATGAAGTATAAATATATATAATTAACTAAACTGTTTTTTGTTCATTTGCTAAACTTATGGTAATGCTTGGGTTGCTTAAAATAATAATAATAGCTAACATACTCCAGTTGATTGCACATACTAAAATAATTCTTTAGAGCACTAGATGCTCCTTAAGCAGGTTATAAAATATTGATAAGTCCTATCAGTAAACAAATAAATCTGAGGTTATCAGTTCATAGCACTGTTAAACAAGAATTCCCACGCTTATATGTATGTATAACTTCTATATGTACTTTGTGTTTCTCACAATATACAATCTAATCTAAATTGATTGTTGAAAATATAAATGAAAAAAAATAGTGAAAAAAGTGCGATTGCTTTTTTTTTCTTACCCATTGCCTATTACCTCAATTTCACAATTATTACAAAGCGAATTGTTTATATTTATTAAGTAAATCTATTTTTATGATAAAGTGACAGAGTATATTTTTAGAGAATTTTCTCCTTCTTCGTCTTTGAGATGCACCTTCTGTAAATAAATTGGAAGACCGCTTTTAAAAGGAGAATAATAATAACCAGTATGACGGCAAATAATGCATAAATATCGATGTTATTGGCGGCTATCCAGTTCATGTGCACCAAAGGACTCTGCAGGTGGGCTGCTCCATGGTGCCGAATGACATACTCCGTCCAGTAGACTACTGATTCCCTAGCAGTCATTGGACGATCGCGGTACAAAGAGGAGAACGAGGCCACCTTCTGGGTGTACTGGGGATTGGACAATATCTCCAAGATTGCCTCGCGGAAAGGCTGCTCCTCCAGGGTTAAAAGGCTCAAGGTGAGGCCAAAACCCTTTTGGACCATTCCGTTCGCGTTTCCGGGCTGATCTCCAAAAACTGGCAAAGAAAGCATGGGTTTGCCGTGATACTGTGCCTCAGTTATGCCACCTTTTCCGGCGTGATTGATGAACAGCTTAACTTTTGGGTGTGCCAGGATGTCGTCCTGGGGAAGCCACTTCGAATAGAGAATGTTGTCCGACTTGCCGGGAGTCTTCTCCAGATCCTCCCACTTCCAGATGACCCTTTGCTTCAGCTTCGACAGCACGTTGAACATCTTGACCACAGTGTCTGGTTTGAGGTGGCTTCCTTTAACATTGGAACCCAGAGACAAAAGAATGGCTCCATCTGTGGCATTGCCCAGGAAGTCCGCCATATTTTGGGGAAGGGGATCTGGCGTGTCCTTGATTTGAATGCCTCCGATCTCTATGGCAGCCGGAACATTGGGGCGGATGGGTCCTTCGCTGGGCGCATGAGAGGCATAGAATATCAACGAAGTGTTTTTGATAATTTCCGAGTACTCGGGCATGCTGGGATCATCACCAAAAACTTCCCTGAAAATTATATGTACAAGTTTATTCGTTTTGAGTTCCATAACTCCTTTTCTACTTACTTGTACAAATTCCGATTGCGCCTGTCCGTAAGGAAGGTTATAATTCCAAAGAAGAGGCTTGTGGTGTATCCAGTCAAACGTTTCAAGAAGCTCATAGTCCTGCCCTTTTCCACGGAGTCGCCAAGTGGGGGCACGTAGGCGACCTCCAGGGGATTACCGATCAGAGAGTTCATCAGTTGGTTTGGCGGCAATGTGGCCACGACGATAACCGGGGCGTTAACCTTCCTTGCGAGTCCGAGCTGAACTTCGTTCATGAAATATCCAGAGAGAACCACATCAAACTTGTTGTCCTTATTCAGATACAGATCCCGCACTCGATCGTCCTTCAGGGTTTCGGCATTCTTCTTGAACGCGAAATCCATCTGTCCCATCATTCGAAGCATCGATACAGCCATGTTACTATTATCGGTCTTAGACATTGCTTCGAATGTGTCGCTCATCTGCTGCGCCTCCTCCTTGGTGAGGGGCACCTGGATTAGGCTTATGTTTTTGTGGGTCACCACTGGCTCAAGAACCGTGACCACAGTCACATTGTGACCCTTCTCGGCCAGAACCTTGGAAGCCGCCATTTGTATGATCAGGTGCGAGGGACTCAGGCTCGGAAAGAGACCCAGGATATTGGCACCCTGGGAGCCACCGACTAAGGTGGCAATAGCTATCGCCAGAAATAATAGTTGACTTGGATGGCGAACCATTCTGGTGGATCGGTAGCAGCAGACAGATTAAAGAAACTCGAAGTCAGAGCGTTATATTTGAAATAAAATTCATGCTGACTTCGAATGACACATCACATTGCGTCCGATAACCAAGTTGTATTTTCCGCGATTGTTGTACTAGGCTTTCGTACACCATTTCACAACCAATTTCAATGACCTCCTTATCGAGCCAAACATTTTGATAATCGTTGTCTCAAAAAAAAGAGAAGAACAATTTTACTTATCTTATCAATGTTTTGGTTCCAGGTAATAAGGAACTCGAACATTTTGTTGACGACCCCAGTTTGAATATATCTATCAAACTGATTCATATATTATATTATCATTAACCTCCTATGAGAATAACATTAACTGGAAAAATAAACGATTACAAAAATCAATGAAATACAGAAAATAAGCTGCCTAAAATAAATGTATTTTTTAATTGGTTAGCTGTGTAACGCATATCTTATTGTCTTGCCACTCGACTATAGGGTTTCTCCTTGCTGACGATTAAATCGGATTAGAATATTAATTGTTAAAAATATAAAATCATATATAAAAATTGTGCATACATAAAAGTGTGGGAATTCCTGCTATACAGTGCATTCAAATCGATAAGCAGAAATCAAATGGCCAACCGTTTAAAACTGATAGCCTTAGATTAATTTGCTTTATCACTATAACTGATAGGAGTCATCAAGTGTTCTATCGAATTACTTTATTACGTGTAATTAACTGGAGCAGCTATAATGTAAAGACAATTTTGGTTTTTTATACCCTTGGAGAGTATTATGGTAAAAAGTGTGTAACACATTTCCGAACCTATAAAGAATATATTCTTGATCAGCATCACCAAGCGAAATTATAACTTCTGTGCTTCTAACATATACCCATGTACTCCAAGACATTCCTTACCAGATGCAAGGGTATATAAACTTCGGCTTGTCGAAGTTTAAGTTATTTATTGTTATTTAGGTAACTTTTTAAGTATTTAAGTAATTTTCTGCCCGTAAAATCTCCCTTATATTCCCACGCAAGAATTGAAATAAAAGTTATGAGTGTATACCGGCTTGAAAATTGTCAAAAAAATAGTAATATTATTTTTAATCAACTCAAGCATTACTATAAGTTAGAATATGACAAAAAAACAGTTTAGCTTATATTAAATTTTATTTTGTAATGTTTGCTAACTTAAAATCTTGGAGACAGAGTACTTGCACTAGTTAGTTGCCTGCGTTAACGTTATCGAACACTTTCAGTGCTTTTTCTCCTTCTTTGGCTTCTTTGACTTTGAGAAGAACTTTCGTAGGATAAATTTAACCACCGTCTTAAATAGCAGTATACTTATAACCAGTATGACTGCGAACAGGAAATATATATCTATGTTGTTGGCGGCTATCCAGTTCATGTGCACCAAAGGACTCTGAAGATGCGCTGCTCCATGGTGCCGAATGACATACTCCGTCCAGTAGACCACTGATTCCCTAGCGGTCATTGGGCGATCGCGGTACAAAGAGGAGAACGAGGCCACCTTCTGGGTGTACTGAGGATTGGACAATACATCCAGAATTGCCTCGCGGAAAGGCTGCTCTTCCAGGGTGAGGAGGCTGAGAGTACGGCCAAAACCCTTTTTAATCATGCCCTCTGCGTTTTGCGGCTGGTCCGCAAATACGGGCAGTGAAAGCATGGGCTTTCCGTGATACTGTGCCTCAGTTATGCCACCTTTTCCGGCGTGATTGATGAATAGCTTAACTTTTGGGTGTGCCAGGATGTCGTCCTGCGGCAGCCACTTCGAATAGAGAATGTTGTCCGACTTGCCGGGAGTCTTCTCCAGATCCTCCCACTTCCAGATGACCCTTTGCTTCAGTTTCGACAGCACGTTGAACATCTTGACCACAGTGTCTGGTTTGAGGTGGCTTCCCTTAACATTGGAACCCAGGGACAGGAGAATGGCTCCATCTGTGGCGTTGCCCAGGAAGTCTGCCATATTTTGGGGAAGGGGATCCGGCGTGTCCTTGATTTGAATGCCTCCGATCTCTATAGCAGCCGGAACATTGGGGCGGATGGGTCCTTCGCTGGCCGCATGGGAGGCAAAGAATATCAACGATGTGTTTTTGAGCATTTCCGAGTACTCGGGCATGTTGGGATCATCACCAAAAACTTCCCTAAAAATTGGAAATTCAAATGAGTTCATTCGTTTTGAACTGCTCTCCCGTCCTACTTACTTGTACAAATTCTTATTGAGCTTGGTGTTAATATAAGCAAAGAGCCCAAAGCCGAGGCTTGTAGCGTAGGTGGTCAACCTCTGCATGAAGGGCACGCCCTTGCCCTTTTCGGCGGAGTTGACTCCCACGTAGGAAATCTCCAGGGGGTTTCCGATCAGGGGGTTCAACATTTGCATTGGCGGCATTGTGGCCAAGACGATGACAGGAGCATTCACCTTCCTGGCGAATCCAAGCTGGAAATCGTTCATGAAGTATCCAGAAAGCACCACATCGAACTTGTTGTCCTTATTCAGGTACAGATCCCGCACTCGATCGTCCTTCAGGGTTTCGGCATTCTTCTTGAACATGAAATCCATCTGACCCGACATACGGAGCAAGGATACAGCTATGTTGCTATTATCGTCCTTGGCCATCGCTCCGACGGTGTCACTCATCTGCTGTGCCTCCTCCTTCGTCATGGGCACCTGGATCACGTTTATGTTCTTGTGGGTCACCACTGGCTTTAGACTCGTGACCACAGTCACATTGTGACCCTTCTCCGCCAGAGCCTTAGCCGCTGACATTTGGATGATCAAGTGCGAGGGACTCAGGCTCGGAAAGAGACCCAGAATATTGGCACCTTGGGAGTGACCTACAAAAGTAGCAATGGCTACAGCCAGCAGCAAAAATTGACTCCGGTTGTGAACCATTTTGGTGGTTCGCTTACAGCAGACTGATAAGGCGCACTGGTCGGCAGTGCCTTATATATTAAATTATAATACAAATTGTATATATATACCTTGGTTTGAAACCGATAAGAAAGTAGCATTTCTTGCGATAGTATTATTAGATTGCAGTTAACCATTTCACAATCATTTTAGCAATTTCGTTTAAGATTTTGGTATTGATGCATTGATAATGAATTCGTTATCGCGATAAACATTTTGCTTATCGTTGGCTCAGAAAAACAAATGAGATTATCTGCCTATCTTATCAATGTCTTTTTGATGATAACGCTCTTGCCATTTACTTAAACATTTTGTTAACAACCATGACTCTCTTAAAATTTCACTATTTAAAGTGATATTTAAATGATTCATGGTTATTCCTTTAAACGAAATGTCTTTAGAATAAACATTTTGCTTATCTTTGGCGCTGAAAAGCAAATGGGAATCTCTACTTATTTTTTAAATGATTTTTTTTTTGATGAATGTGCTCTTGCATTTACTTAAATTTTATGGTGAAATATTCAACTGGACAGGCTGGATTAAACTATTGGTGTTTTGTTTTTAAAAGTTTTCATTTCCGTATAAGTAGCGAAAGGAACGAATGAAAATGAAGCTGCTGGAATGACTTCTATTTCTTCTCATCCCAAAATTTCACTACCACGTTCGTACGTGTTTTAGCATCGCCTGCGGTCAAAAGTGTGTACATCTTTGGCGAAATTTGGTGAAAAAACATTCGGCTGGGAAAGGAAAACGAAAGGAAAATAAGGGCCACGGTGACACTTTGTGGCACACGACTTAGAAAGCGGAACCCACACCTGAACTCAAAACCCCGGATGGGGCAATTTACAGGTACGCGGCCACGTGACTTACTAAATCAACTTGGACTGTCGCTCCTTTTGCGACAGCCGAAAAATACAGGAATAAGAAGTGAAAATAAAAAACACCTCAAATCCAATTCCCGCCCAGGGTGATGTCGCCGGCAATGTCGGGCTGACAAATCGCGTGCAAAAATCTGTGAAATCTTCGTTTGCTGCCATCTCTACCTGAATATTCCAGAGCTTAAGAACATAGCCCTCTTGTGCACTTAGAAAATTTTATGTACATATATGTATCTAGCCTAAAATAATTTATTTAGTATTCTTTTAAAAACTCAGAGAGACTCATTTTTAAAACCACCTGAATCCGACGTTTTTGGAAAATCCGAGTTTGTGCACTTACAATTGATAATACATGTATTCCATTTTCAGATTCACCTATTAAATTTAAATAGGAAAAAGAAAAACATAGACAAATATTTTATATTATTAAAATAATTTTTATTTTGAATAACACCAATGGATTATCCAAATACATTAATACTTAATGTTAATTATTTGTTTTTAAATGCGTAAACTCGAAGGCTTTGCTCTTGCGTTTTAGGAAAACAACATCAAAAGCCTCTAATCAAAAAGAAATTAAATTACAATTAATCTTTTAATTGTTATCTGAACAGAGATTTGATAAATGTAGAAAGTTGCCACAATATTTTCTGAGTGAAGAATCCGGAGCAACTGCGTCGCGTTCTCCTTTCCATGAGTTGGGTTTTTGCCTTGGCGCCTCGTCCTGGACTCAAAAAATCTTTCTGAGCACCGCCGGCGCCTCTTTGGCAATTTGTTGGGTTTTCTTTTTTTTTTTGTATTTGCTATTGCTTCTGTTGTTGTTTTATCCCCTTCCCCTGGCCGTGGTAAATTTTTTGATTAATCAAAGGACATTTTTTTGTGCAGTGCCCGTGTCTCTTGGCTGTTGGTTTGTCGGTTTGGCCAAAAAAGGAGGCAGAATTAATGCAAAAATGATGAGTGGAAATTTGTCAAGCTTATTTACTTCCGTCATTTAATGTGCCCGCGGCAAATCGTCGGAGTCGGGGTACACAGCCGTATCCGGAATCCGGTGCTGGAACTCAAGTCGAGCCCAAACCAACAGACGGCGGAACTTATCTTTGTTTGCTCCAATTTTTTGCTGTTGTTATTTTCCCTTAGCCCAAGGCAATTTTATGCATAATTTTCGGTCAATGCCTGACAGTTTTTGTTCCTGTTATTTTAGCTACTGATTTTTTTTATGCTGTCATTTTTACCTGCGGCGGCCATTGGCCATTGCATATTTTAGCCCGGATTTGCCCTAATGCGTTGAATATTTTTCACTGCCCTGTAAAGTGTTTGGTTTTATATTTATTTTCTAGGGGATGCTAAATCGAATTTTCCGTTGTTGGCATTTTCCTTTCATTTTGGCTGTGTTTTTTTTTTGTTTGTATCTGTTTGCCATAAGTTAGGTAAACGACTGCAGGAAAGGAAATGAGGGACATAAGCGGTTTCTTTCAGGGGACTCCGTTGGGTTTTGGGAATTGAGATTAGGCTGAAGAAGACATGCCGCCCAGTAAGGTTCTAGGAATTGAGGAGCACTTAAAAGATTAAAGAATATTTATTAATATACCAAATTGACGAAAACCTTGTCCTTAAAGCTCTTTAGTCCTATAAATACAATTTCCGTTTATTTATGTATTTAACATTAGTTAAATTACGCGTCCTGGAAAAAATATATTTAGGTGAGCAAAGTTAGGTTGTGATTAACCCACTTATTTCCTTTTTAATTTTAACAATAATTTTTTAAACAAAGTTCACTCTTCTTTTTCATTTACCCCGTTGAATACAGTTATTTTCTGATCTCAAAATCTTTAGTGCTTTGATTAATATATATTAAAGATTTTAAAATGAAAGTTTCTATATACTGTAAGTTCTTTTACATCGGGGTATTCGCTTTAACTGAGATGTTGCACATTTGCCGTGTTATGTGGCAGCCATTCAGTTGTAAGGATCCCGACCTCAGTTCAGTGATTTTTATTGCTGCCATGCACATTTACCTTCTTGAAGTTGGAACACTTTGCAAGATCAAGGACGAGTGGAAATTCACAACTAGAATTAATTCCGGATTTGTTATCACTCACATAGTCTTCGTCTACCTTTCGTTGGCATTTTTTTGGGATACGTCCGGATGTCTAATCAGAGGGCTATTGGATTACATGGAAACTACAGATTTAACCGGATATTTGAATATAATTCGCCTCTCCATGTCGTTGACCTTCTTACTCTGCTGCTGGATCCTTCCGAAAAGTCGTAAAAATAAGAGAGTTGCAAATATGAATAGGCATGGTGATTATACCGGCTTTTATTCTGTGTGGAATGTTTTTCAATCTGAAATCCATTTGGGAAGTTTAGGTCTGCGATACAGGGAACGCTTTCCTATGCCAAGAAAACCTCATTACTATACACTTTCCAGGGGTGTTTTCGGCCGTAATTTTTAAGAAAAATACTTTGATAAATATCTTATTTATTGTAGTCACAAAAAAAATATATTGTTAAGAAAACGTTCCGCAAAATGAGCGAATTTTAAAAAAAGGTTTCTTTGGCCCTTAAATTGATTGGTCCTTTTTATTAAAAATAAACACTTTTAATTTAGTCCTTTTATTTGTATTTATTTATTTCCCATACATCGTTTAATACAATTAACAGTTCACATACAATAATTAAGTTTACTTGCCATTGATTGTGTGTGTTCCTTTTTCTGTGCTCAAATATTCATGTGTAAATTTGTTGATATTCGAATTGCCCTCCTCTATTGAAATAATTCTGACATATATTCGTATTTGGTAGCAAATTTTACGTTTAGATACCTATATAATAATTTACGTTTCATAGTTTTCCATTTGTGTTGATTTTTCGGTTTCGCATTTCCGATGGCTTGTTCACACATAACACATAATAAATGTTTCATTACACTTATGTAGGAAATGGCTGGGCTTCCTGCACGGACCTAGACTAATTCGATTTCGACTATGTACAAATTCAACTGTTGCTGCCTTGGCTTGTTAACTTTTTTATTTGGCTCGAAATGGTGCGAATCACCCAATTTATTTGGCGCCCGTGTCTGTCTCAATTTTTTTTTGGTTGAAGAATGTGTGCACTTGGAGACGAGTCCTGGAAACTTAGGCCACAAATAAAGCCCCCGTCAATGCCAGCCACTAACTTTGGGAGCTATGCCAGCGCAGAATGTGGACAAGGCTCAGAAGCCAGGCAGCCAGAGAAGCTGAAACAAATATAAGAAATAATAGCACTTGATTTAGTAAGGTCCAAAACAGATTGAATAATAACAAAGCAATGACTTGCACTTTTTATTATTTAAAATAATATTAAATATGTTAAAATAATGGCATCTTATCTCCTAATTCTATTTTTAATTTCAACTGGAAAAGTTAGTTAGTAAGTGTTGGTTAAACTAAAATTAATTTAGACTTTGAAAGAATTGTTTCTAAAATAAAATCAAAATAAAATATTGTACTGATTAAGTGAATTTCATAGATTTTTCGTTTGGATTTCAAACCAATCGTCTTGAAAGCCTCGGAAGATATCTGTGAAACACCAGCATAAGATACTTAATATGTTAGGCAATATTTATACCCTTGCAGAAGGTATTATAATTTCAGTCAAAAGTTTGCAACGCAGTGAAGGAGACATTTCCGACCCTATAAAGTATATATATTCTTGATCAGCATCACCACGAGAGTCGATCTAGCCATGTCCGTCTGCCCGTCTGTCCGTCTGTCCGTCCGTCCGTCCGTTTCTACGCAAACTAGTCCCTCAGTTTTAAAGCTATCTGCTTGAAACTTTCCCAAAAGTTGTCTTTTTATTGCAGGTAGTATATAAGTCGGAACGAGCCGGATCGGACAACTATATCATATAGCTGCCATATAACTGAACGATCGGAAAAGCCATAACTTTGGTGTTTTTAAAGTTAGGAAGAAGGGATTTTCTATGAGCTTTATTTTTGGCCAATTAATCCGACCTACCGAATTTCATAAGGATCTATATCCTATAGCCGCCATATAACTGATTGATCGGAAGTGCCATAACTTTGGTGTTTGTAAAGTTAAGAAGTTGGGATTTTCTATGGGTTTTATTTTTGGCCAATCAATCCGACATACCAAATTTCATAAGGATCGGCTGACTATATCTTATAGCTGCCATATAACATAACGATTGGAAATGCCATCAAATTAATAATTTTGAAGAATATAATTTACAGAATATTCTGCAAGGGTATATCAACTTCGGCTCCGTCCGAAGTTAGCTTTCCTTTCTTGTTTTTTGTAATTACAGGCAACTATTTTAATATTATAGTTTATAGGTTTAATTTTTTATTTTATTTGTATGATAATATTAGTTGTAGGCCAAAAATATATCAAAATATTAAATAGATTTAATTTTGAGAAACTGATAAACGATTTCTTCCATTTACATGCATGTCTATAGAACTCAATCGCAACTCACCTGGTTGTCCGGTGATGCAGGAGCCGTTCTCGGTGAGCCGCTGCTTGGTGCCGGCGTCCTTGAGCGCCAGGATGGTGGTCCTTACCCGGCTCTCCCTCCGCACCGCCGCCAGACCCATGATGTCCGCCGTGCACCGGAGCTCCAGCATCTCGCTCTTGCTGATGAACCGCTGGTCGTCCAGGTGGAGGCGCAACTGCAGGTGGCTGGCGAACAGGTGAAAGCCGTCGGTGTTGCGTGAGACTTCGTTGATTTGCGGCTGCAAGCTGTGCCCAGGTGCCTGTGGCCGGAAGCGAACGGAAACGGAAATGGAAATGGCAAGCGGAGGGTTTAAAAGCCAAATTGTGGACCACATGCGGGCGTGACTTTCAGCCAACGTCCTGGCCCAGCTCTCTGTCAACATTTGGACAAGTTCGATGGCCAGGACGGGCTGACTGACTGACTGACTGACTGGCTGACTGACCGACAACCCACCGCGGTGACGTGTCTGGTCCTTGTGGCCTGGCCAAAACACCTCGTTTACATTCTTTACTTATGCAATGAGGTCGCTGGGATGCACTCGTAAAAAATGAACATGTTTAACGAACTTAAAACTTAGGGATTCTTTAATAGATTATAAATAATAAAGGCCATTAACACTCATTATTTATTTTAAGCGTAAGCTTGAAAAATATATTTCTTAAATTTCCGAGAACTTTAATTGGAAAGGAAAACTATATTTTAAGATCGAGTATTTAAAGTGTTTTTTACGTTCAAAAAAATATTTTAAATAAAATGAGATTTATTCTATCTGAACAATAAATTACATACCGTTTTGTTGTTGATATACCACATCAACTTGGGCATCGGACTGGACATTTCTGAACTACAGTTTGCAATCAGATAGTCGTGATATTTGTAGGCATGTCGAACGCCCGAGATAAATGGATCGAATTTGGGTAGCACTGTAATATATTTTAAAAGCAATTTAACATTTAAGCATTAAGGAAATATGATAAATTTTTAAAAACTCAATATTGCAAGTAGCCTAATTTAGCCTTTTTAAATTTACTTAAACTAAAATTTAAGATGTCTGATTTAAAAGCCAAATGCACGATTATTCATTTGCCAAAAGTGCATAAAGTTTCCTTTTAGTTCTGCGTTGGCAAAACTAAATTTTACCGTCCGATTCTGACGGCAAATGTAGAATGCTATTCGGGCACCAAACTTATCCCAATTAGTGCGACCGAAGTCTCCCTGAAATCCGAGCTCAGTTGCCATAGAAATGGATGTTATATGGCAAAGTACAGCCGGCACTTAGACAATTACCGAAACGTCAACACCAAATATTTATTTGAAGTGTTAATTAATCCTAACAAATAATTGCCCAGGACAAAGTTTTTTGATGAAAACAAGCGTAATTTAGTTTATGGCGAAATCCCCCCCTTTTTTTGCTCCATGACCGCAATGGCAACAACAAAACCCAATTCCAAATGAATTTTGCTGTGGGAAATTTGTGAAATATGCTAAGGACTCACAAGGCCTCCATAGACAATGGACCAGTGGGTGGGGGATGGGGGGGGATCTGAGAGGTTGTGGGGCATCAGAAGTCGGGCAGTCAGCAGGACTGTAAACTTTTTAATTGACTTAATACAAACCACTTTGGTGGAAAGTTTCTGACCTGTTTCAAGTACAACTTACGGGTGGTGGACTTACGGAGGGACTGACGGAGGGACTGACGGACGGAATTCGGAGTTGAAGTTGATGATTGCGGCCATGTTTTGCCTGGTGGCACGCCCCCTTTGCCCATTTGCCGCCCCCAATTGTGTGACTTGCATTGCGGGCAAAAACAAAAGCAGTAAAAATGAAAATTCAACGAAAACAAAGCAATCAACTAGGGTAAATAAACCAAAAATGGCTATGTAGTATACCCAAGTACCAGTAAAGCACCAGAAACAAGATTGAAAAAATACACACACCCAAAGAGGAAAAACCCCCCCGTCGAAAACCAAAAAATACAAAGGGAAGTCAGTTTTTGGGGGGCAAAAATTGTGTTGTTGGAATGCTAAACGAAGCTAAACGAGCCAAAAAACAAGAAGAGGATTTTCAGTCTGGACAGGTGTAACCATTTTGGAAAGTGTGTTTGTTTTAAAGGGAAAGCTAACGTCGAAAGAGATCCCCCCGCATTAAAATTGCAAAAGCTATAAGGCGCAGATCAAAAATTAGGACCAAATCCCTGAGAATAAAATATTTAAAATTAAGAAATATAGACTTATTCGAGAAGTAGAAACAATTAAGCTTATACGAAATAAATATTTAATTTTGTTTTCATCTACTGGTATTTTTAAAAATAAAGCCCATATTTAGTCTGATCTATTTAAAATGGAAAATGATATTTTTTTAAAATTTCGCATTTATGTTGTATAATTTATAATACACTTATGTTCAGGATTTAATAGATCATCTTTTTGCTAATTATTGTATTGTAATTTTTAAGAATGAAAATCATTTCTAACTTATTGTAATGTTTGTACTTCATTATCATTATATCATCAAAATAAGAATGTTAGTAGCGTATATAAATTATAATCATATATTTTTTGTCCTTAAAAAAATTATTAAATTATTCATAATATTTTTCTCCGTGAAAGAGTCCCGAAAAAGTCCCAGCTTGACCCCGAAAATGCGGCAAATCTCCCAAGTAATTAAGTGCAGCTCAGTCGCCGTTTTATGGCCAGTGTTTGGTCCTGTATGTCCTGGCGTGTCCTGGCGCTTCCCGGCCCAATTCTGAGCTGTGCAAACTTGGCAAAGTTAATCAGTGTGATGACACACGGCACGCAGCTAAGCGACAAAATATTTGCCAGGCAAAAGTTTGGAGCAAACCTCAAACCCCCAGCCTTATCCTGTTTTCCTGTGTTTCGGTGGATTGTGGATCCCTGGTCCTGTTTCGGGCATCATCAAAGTGTCCTGGGCGATGGTTGTTTTGAAAATCGAGAGGGAGGTGGCTCTCGAACCAATGTTGTTGTGACAAAGTTTTTAAGGTGGTTACGATGGCGATGGCACTTTAGTGACAAAATTCCCAAGTCGATTGTTGGTCTGTCAACAGCTTCGCCTTCATTGAAACAAAAAACAGGCAACACCAGTTAAAACTACGTGCATCCGATTCCCCTTCAGCCACACTCTCTCCGAACACTTTCCCCACTTTCCCCGCACACGGACACATTGTTCAGCCCAAAGAGGACTTTAAACTTTGCCGCTATCTCGTTGATGAAGTTTGATGCCATGGCTGGTTGGCTTTATTTTGTTTCGCTGTTGCCCCCTGTGGCATTGTATTTTTTCAAGTTTATTCTCTGGGTTTCTATATAAATTAAAATGACGAAGCCAACTGGCCACTGACGTTGGCATATGCCAAAGACACTCGTCGTCTGTCGGACAATGCAGCCACTAGATTATATGGTCTGTTCTTCCATTTATTATCTCGAAAAGGTTTTATTTTAATTGCACATATTGTGGGTCTAAGCTGCGGTATAAAAGCGCAACGTAATAGATTAAAAATATATAAAACTTTACAATGCACTTTTAAGGGGATATTTTAAAAAAATTATTTTTATTATTTATAGCTTAAGAAGGAATATACCAAATATCTTAAAAAGTATTATTTATTGGTTTTTAAAAGATACCAAAGAAAATACAAAATATATTTTGAGTAACTGGCTAAGTTCCTTCCTTGATGATGTTCATTTAAAATATTATGTTTTTTCTTATCATTGAGCTTTTGTACAAAGGGTATATATATTTTTGAATCCAACATTTAAATTGTTTCCAATTTTATCTACTTTACAAAAAATATATTATTAAGTTGGACTGAGTGAGCCAAACTAAGTAAACTGTTAAACTTTTTTATCCAGAACGTGTATCAAAATAAATATATCACATAATTCAGTAGCAGTCTTGTTTTTATGGCGAACCAATGAATATTTCCTTGTCATAAAACTCAATTTAGAATCGATTGGGTTTATGCACTTCTGCTGCTGCATTTATTTCAATATTTCACAATTCCCAGTCAATCAACATAAATCAGGAAATAGATAAATGCCAACTTATAATCGATAATAAAGTACTATGCCAAATAGCAAAGAAAAACCTAGGTATTATGTGTTATAAGAAAGGGAAATTCAAAGGGGGGAAAGGAAAACCATCCACGTTTCACTAAGCTCGTCCTGCAGACTGGCACTTAATCTAGCCACTGGGATTTCCATGTACATTGTACAACCACTTGAGCATGGCTTACTTTGTCTATTTAAGTACGCTGAATAGATAAAAGTCAAATTGACATGCAAATAGCGAACACACAAACAGTCTGCCCTTTGCGAAACATCCAATTAAAGACGCAATACAAATACGAAAATGCGAATTCAAATTTGATTGTTACGCGTAAACAAATGCCTAAGTACGCATTATGCAAATCAATACCTCTTAAAGTAACGTCAATAAATAAGACGCCCCCAAGCCCACTCGAGGCTGAAAGCCGTGGGCCACGCATTTAGCATCTATGTGGAAAATATAGACGGCTACAAAAGGAGACAAATCGCTCAGCGGCGAAATTGCGACAAATAAATCATTTTGAGCCGCATAGAAACTAGAAACAAAAGACATAAGCAGGCCATTTCCATTTGGACCGAAATCAATTGATTTGAATTTCAAAGTAGAGCCAGCCGAGCGACCGAAAGTCTGACTGACTGTCTGCCTGGCGGCTCCTCCCGGCCACAATCAACCACAGAAAAGGGGGAAAAGGGATCGATACACCTAGAAAATAATCCTTAATTTTACATTCTATTAAATGGAAAATATATCACTATATTGTCACTAAGCAATAAAAGCCTGATTTCTACTTGAAACTTATTATGACTAGAACACGGCTTATTAGTAATACATTACACAAAATTATATAACCCAAATTTATTTATAAAACAAAGTTGTATTTAAAAATAAATACAAAAATATATATATATTTTACTAGTTAATAAAATTATATAAAATATTAAAAAAGTTGTAATATTAAGATTGTGTTAAAAGTTACATTATGTTATTTAAAATACATATTTTGTTCAGAACTTTTTCCTTAATTTCTTTCAGTGTAGGCCAGAGTGTTGGGTGCTGGGCGGAATCATAGTCATGTACGCTGCCAATCAAAGCGAAATCGGAATGGTGGGCGATGCGTTGCCAGCGGCTTTCGGTGGTTCGATGGTTTGGTGGGTCGTTGGTTCAGTGGTGCGGTGGTGCGTCGTTGACGTTAACAAACCCAACTACAAGTGCCGCAAACGAGTTGGTTCTGGTCGTGGGATATTTGTTGTATTTTGTGCCATTTCTCTGGCTGTTGTTGTTTAGGCCCAGCACGTGACAACGGCAAACGACCGCGCATTGTAGATTATAAATTGATTCGTACAAAACTCACAATTGAGTTGAATTTGTTCAGTAGAGCGGCAGGTGGCGCAGCGGGGTGTTCACTGTACGGCTGAACGTTTTGGGATGGTTGTCGGGATTTATTAACAATCATTACTCATACAAATGGCTGACGCGTGTCACAATTTTCCAGCGTTTATGCGACGCCCTTTTCAACTGCCTACTGCCCTAGGTTCGCGACCCTACTCCCCCTACGCCCCCTACTCCCCCATCTATCCAGTAATCCGTGATTCCCTCCGCCATCCCCCATCCGTCCGGAAAACACTCCGTCCGTGTGGCATTGATAAATGGAAAGGAGTTGCCGCCTGAACTCCCGACCCCGAATTCTGCTGGCCGTGCAAGGACCATTTATAATTTTATTAAGTGTTTGCAAAATTGCACATAATTTGTTGTCTTTCTGTTGCAAAACATAAATCAAAGACAGCAACAAAAATTACACAGTACGGAGAAAGGGGCATTGGACTATGGGCATTTGTGTGTGCTTCTTGGAGCAGACATTAAAGGTTATGTTCTGGTATGTCTGAAGATTATTTTGATTGGTTAATATTTTTTAAAATAAGAAATATATATACATATATATATATTTTTTTTGTTCACTTTTATTGAGACTTAATAAAGAGAAGTAAAACTAAAAATTTATAAATCCACCAGAAATTGCTTGGAAGCTTATTACTCATACGCACTGTTACCTTTGATCAAATTATTTATTCTCTCTAGTATGAGTAATTTGTCTTAAAACTTAAAAACTAGTTTTTAACGTCCAAGACTTAAAATAAAATTGTGTTCATTATCTATTATAAATTCTTACAAAATCCGTTTTTGTATTTGAAAAAAAAAAATGTTATATTTAAATCATGGGTCTACATGATAAGCAAGGTCTCGGGGATTAAATATGAAATTAGAATGCTCTAGACTGCGTTATTCAAATTTCTATGTATTTATCAGATGTTTTTGAAATTCAAAATGTATAATTCCCATATATATCCCAGCTAAAACTAATGTTTATTAAGCTCATAGAGTAGATTGGCCCACTGTTGGGCGGCCAGGGGCACTGGATCACTTGGGCACCTACCTCCGACTGTCATATTGGCCGTCTGATCGATCAGCTTGAACTCGGGCGCATCGCCGGACACCTCGCACCTGTATTGCCCCGAGGAGTGGGCGCTGAGCTTCTCCAGCTCCACGTTGCAGATGAATTGATTGCAATGCGGCGAACCGTCGGCGATGGTGACACCTGTAACGGGGAACCAATTTGTTGTCGGCGGCGTTAGCGGCGAGTATCTGCAAAGAAAGAGACGGCATCAGGGCTTTAGAAAGAGAGAGGGGGAGAGCTTGAGCTCGAGAGTTGCGCAAAACCGAAACCATGAAATATTGATGAGGGAATCATGATAAAAAAAATTTGTTTTTCAGTTTCTGCAGCTGCAGCACTCGTCGCAATTGTATCCACTTTTTGGCAGGGCTGTCGATTTTATTATGAATAATATGCAGTTCCACTCAGATCTGCATTCTACTCAAAGCACAAATAAAATTCAAATTCGATTGCGAATTCAAATTCCATTCATATATGTGCGTTCGTATGCAGGGAGTGTTGCATTTGATTACAGCAATTAGCCAGGCTATTGGGGAAATCGTTTTTTCTCTTCCACACAGTTCCAAGTTGCAGACATGAAGCGAATTTAATACTACAGTAATAACATACTGAGAAAATATCTACGAATATGTAGTCCACGAAATGGCTCGGAAATCTAACAATTGTCAATAAAACCTTATTAGGTTTCTTCCTAATGAGTTGGGAAATTCAAATGCAAATCAAATGCATCAATGTGTCAAGAGATGAGAAACATTCTGATGGGTGTTCATTACTACATTACTGAAATATTGCGCAAAGTTAAAATACAAATTTGTATTCCACAGCATTGCTTAGTAAAATTTAGTTCATAATGACAGCAGAATTTACAACATCATTGAATTTCTCTATTGTCTGGGTATGTAATTTCCAATATTTCACCAAATTAAATTCAATTCCAATATGTTGAATTTTCAAATCGCACAAGTTTTGACACAAACACTGGGCAGCAGTATTTTTGGTTAAGGCCTAAGGGATTCAAATTATGGTAATATAGACTATTCCAACCTCAACTGCATAGTTGAATTGCGATATCCCTCAATCGATTGATTTTAAATATCCTCGAGAGTGGGTACTCCAATTATTAGATTTTCAATTCATTTTCTAAAATATTATTAGTAAAATAAAAAATATGGTTGATTTAAAAGACGGATGCCAAGCGGTCATTTCGTTTTCAGAAGTTTAAAGTGCTCTGTGCAATAGTAATCATACACAAACCACAATTAACAATGAAGTTTGTATATTTCCTTCGTAAACCTAAAAGCCAAATGGATTGTTATGTCGCTTTGTTGACCGTAAACACTTAATTTAGCAAATAGAAAAGCACGGCCTAACAAATTCAGAATTACTCTCGAAATGCGTGTATCTTTTGTGAGGTTTTTTGTTACAAATGGAAGCAACCGCAGTGTCAAATGCACATGAATAATTGAAGCCGAGTGCAGACCACACAATCAAAACGTTCACACAAAGGCGTAATTGATAAAAGCCAACTGCCTACAGCAGTAAATTACTGGGAAAGGCAGCCCCAAAATCAAATCCGCCCCCTTCTGCCGAAATTGTCCGGAACGGCCACGCCCACGTCCTCGCGAACATGTCAAAAACAATAATTTGGAACACGGAATGCCAATCGAGTGTGGTCGCCAAAACGCTTCAAATTTACATGGAACCTTGTTGCAGCGGTCGTGATTGGGGAAGTGCACTGCTCACATTTTGTCAATCGAAAATGCATTTTAAATAGTAAAATTTTAAGTAAATTTTTATTTTTAACTTCTAAATCAAGGATGTATTCCGATATAAAAAAAATAAATCAAGATTACCCTAACAAATAAATAACAATTAAATAAAGCAGTCCAATCTTTACATCGGTAAGTTCTAAGAATATATCTTGAATCTTATTTTTAAGGCAAAGTCTAATAACGTCTTCTAGTTTTTTGAGTTATTTGAGACTATCGAGATTAATAAGTTTTCTTAGTAATTTATAAATATTAAAAATTGCTAAAGTCAAATTAGTTAATTAGTTATAACTGAAACAATTTATTTCAAGATAAAAAGATTAGTTCTGTAAGCTTTTGCATTTTCCTATGTGTTTTTTACAAAGTGGGCGTGTCAGACCATTTGGCAAAGCCATTAAACCGTTAAATGGCTCTGATATTTGGCATAAATAACACTTTTTTGCTGCCTGACATAACCATATTTGTAGCAGGCCTTAAAAATCAATAACCAAAACATTAAAAAAGAATTGTAATGCGAAAAGACACACCTTTGTTAAAAATTTTGCGCTCGATTAAGCCCCGGATGGAGAGCATGGATCTGGGCTACGGTCACCGGTTCTACCCATTCTGGATATATGTATATGCGGCAATGTGCAACAATTAAGCCAGTTAAATAAAAAGCCCTCTTCGCACATATTTGGGGCCGATACGGTAGCGTCACCTGGCCGCAATTGCAGGCGGCCATAAAAATCCATTTCAATTAAGCATTTAAATTAGTTGCGACACTTTCAAGCGACCCAGCCAGCCCCAGTACACTAGCATTATTTTGTTTTTATTTTTGGGTGGGACTTTACTTTGTTGCGGACAGTGTTGCAGTTTCATGACGTTTTCAATTTGCGCCATAAAATCTGCATGAATGCGCCGGCACATTTCGCAACTCCCAATCTCCGGGGCTCTCTGGCGACATTTTATTATTTCAAACTGAATGCCGAAAAATATTTTTATGGTGCGACGGGTAGGGGGGAAGGACGATTTTTATTTGCTCTACGGCCGCAGCCAGTTGGCTCACCTGAAAAACTCCTGGCCATCCTTGTACCATTTGACAGAGTTCAGCGTCCGATTGCCCATCGCGTAGCTGCAGAAGAGCTTCGCCTTCTGGGCCACGTCGATAATGCGCGGAACGGAGAGGTTCGACAGGTGCAATCCCTCCGCGGGCACAGGTGCCATTCCTGCAACGACAATGGAACCAGAGCAACTCAACATTACCAAGAGAAAATCAGGTTTTGAAATAAATTAATACTAGCTTAATAAAGAAAAAAACTTATTTTTATGTTTACATTATGTTTAAGACTTAACAATCTTAATTTATTTAATGTATGTATTTATTTATCCAAAACTAATATTTAAAGATTTATTTTGTAATGTGAAAAATAATGATCTAAATTATTAAAATTAAAATTAAGATCAATAGTCAAAAATGTTTATTATAATTTTAAATTTATTGTACATTTGTTTTGTTAGTATCAGATAAGCTCATAGCATTAAATTATATATTAATGTAACCAAGAAAAGTCAGAACTATCTTAACTATTTCCCGAATTGTATTAAACCAAAAGGTTTTAATACCTAGAATCTTTGTTTTATATATTTAATTTTTACATAGAAATTCTTTAGTATTTTGTTGATTAAATACAGCGCTTTTGCCATCACTGAATGCAACCAGAATGGGTAGCGATTCCATTGGCATTTTCGGTAAGCTGTTGATAAGTGCGAGCTCGCCACGCGGACGTATGACTGGGGGATTGGGATTGGAATCCGGGACGGGCAGGTTGACCTGCACATGAAGAACTTAAAATAATAGATTTTGTTTCGTTATCCGCGGGGATTTTAATGTTTTGTTAGTGACTTTTTTTTGTTTTGATATACTAGAATGTCGAGAACTTGTAAACGGATAGAACAAATATTCGCTATTTTTATTGAATTTAACATGAGGTGTGAAAATGTTGGGTTTATGTAGCATAGCAGTAACAATAAGTCAAGTTGTCAGTAAATTTAAAATGTGTGGCCTATAATGGTCGTTTAAGTGATTAAACGAAAACTTTCTTTTCGTTTTGCACATCATTGCATATTTAGGAAAAAAAACAGACACCTCATAATGTCGTAAATAATAGGTCTCTATTATAAGTCAAATAACAAATGTTGCCTCCGAGCAGGTCTCACTGTGCCCCAAAGAAAACCCTTTTTCAAAAGCGGAGGTGCCAAAAAGGTCGCCTGTGCGCCGTTAATGCCTTGACTTTTGGAACTGACCCGGCTCTCGACCTTTTACGCCTTCACACTTTGTGCGGCCATACTTTGCACATTTTTTACATTTACTTTTATTTTTATTCCGCGCCGCCACATTCATTATTGCATTTAAACCGGGGCCCGCAAATGCAGGCCATGAATCAAACGCCCGACCCGTCGGCCGACGCGGGTATTAATTAAGTTTATATTACTTTGCCTGATAATAAAAATTATATAAACGGACCGACGAGTGGGCGGTGCCTGCTATGACCCCCTTTTCCCGCTGTTTGTGGCATGTGAACTATGAACTTTGGCTGACCGACAAAATAATTAGCCCGGACTACGGCCGTCTCTTTTCGTGGATATAGCCAGTATCTCTCCTTTTTTCACACGCAGCCAGCGGAAGCAACAGTTTTTCGTTTGTTTATGGGCTTGAAGCTTTTCCGGCGGCCAGGGACGAGTTTTAATGGCCCCTGGGACAACGGCTTGAACGTCGCCTAATTACAACAAATAACAGACAAACAGAAATTAACTTATGTGCTACATAAATTAGCGATGTAATATGACTTTTTCTGGCGACCCCCGCCGGATGCGGATGCCCTGAATTTATTGTCACGACAACTACGGCATGATGATGCTTGTCCCCAAGGAAGGCGAAACGATGACTAATCAGCGTGACACAGTTTGAATTCCTAACGAAACTTTCAGTACAATACATTGCAAAGTTCTTATTTTCACGATACCATTGGAAGCTCATTAAATAATGTATAACTACAATAAATACATCCACAAAAATCCACTGTTTAAATTTTGCATAACTATATTTGATATTTAAAAATTACGGTTTTATACAGGTAAGAAATTTAAGATTTCTATACATAAATTAAGACAAATATTACTGCTTCTTTAAATATAAATATAATCTATGTATACAACAACATGTTTTTGCCCCTAGGTCATTTGACTTTCGCAATTTTAAATATTTACATACATTTGCTTATCAGTTTTTTTGCCATCCTTTTAAATGTTTTTTATTCCACTCGTTGGCCATTTGTAATCATGTTTTGTTTGGATGGGAAATTAAGGCCAGATGACATGTGCGATTATGTTGGGTTGGCAAATGCTTTCTTTTTATATGGGTTTGCTGATTCAACGGTGGATTACATTAAACGGTTTAATGTTTATGTCAGTATGTCGGAAAACACGAATAGTTTAAATTGCTGTGCGCTTAGACCAATTTGCCACTCGGCGCAATCTTTCAGACAAATTGGTTTATGTGCGCATCCCAGACACATTACTCATAATGACAGGCAAAAAATTCGATTGGCCTGAAAAGCAATTAACGTGCAACCCGCACAGACATCTTTTGAATGGGAGTATTAACCCTATTTTTTGAAGGTGTTTAGCCTTCTTTAAAAAGGCTAGAAATTAAGTTATTTACATAAGATAATACTTTCTTTACTTATCTATACAAATTTCTCATAAATCGACTTTTTCAAAAACCTGACTATTTTAATTTATTTTAGTTTGATAAGCTTAAAACCAAGAAGTCATTTTCAAGTCTAATAAACTTTAATTTTAATTGTCCAATATTTTAAATTTTTAAACATAAATTTTGTTGTACTGTGAGTGAACAAAATTTTAGTGATAAAATTAACATTTATATTTTCGTTTGCTTAAAAAAGTGTTTATATACATAAATTATCAGATTACAGTTTGCCGTTGCAATTAATTTATTACCTAAAGGAAAATATTACTTTTTATTAAAATATATTCCATTTTAATAAAAAAATACCACATACATGTAGGTACCCAGAGGGTTAAATAAAATTTTTGTGGGAAAATGACGAGGGCTATTCGTGGTTAACTTGCCAGCCGCATGAATGCTCCGGTTTCGCTATTGCCGAAAATCTGGTCTAAGCCTCTTTGGGCCAACTTTGCTTTGGCCGCTGATGCTCCAGTTGCTCCAGTTGCCCTTGACTGATTGTCGGTCAGTTAATATCACTCAAGCATGTCGTTGCGACGAGGCCTCGATGACAGAACAGACAGAACAGAAAGGACGGAAGAGACAAACGGACAGCTGACCATGTGAGCTCGGCGATGAGTTGGCCAAAAGCAGAGTCTTTGGCTCAGAACCCTCGGCTCACATGCGATGAGATAATGAATGCGTTGACGTTCAAGGATTTAATGTGCCGAAACAATGATGAATTAGTGACGAGACAGAAATTTCTCGAGCGCAAAATAATGAGCATTAGGCCGTCGGCTTCCCGTATCCTCGAGGACATTCATGATGGGCATTGTGCGGACAATTTGCTTTGAATTTAGTTGATTGCCGTACGGAATTTGGCGCCATTTGTGTGTGCTTTTTTTTCTTTTTTTCCGCATTAAATTCGCAAAACAGAATTGGGAATTTAAAGCAAGCACTGGGCTATTTTGTAATTTAAATTTTAATGGCCATCGCTGGGCAGGCAAACTGAAAGATCTCTTAACTTCCCGTGTTGGGTAAATTTATCTTTGTCATCGCCGTTGACATTGACATGTGGTAGGTCTTTTTTGTGATACATCAATTCAGTAAGTGTTCATTAAAGAATTTTTGAAGCTTATATTAAATAATGCAATTTACCAATAATTTAAACAAAACATTTTTATACCCTTGCAGAGGGTATTATAATTTTGGTCAAAAGTGTGCAACGCAGTGAAGGAGACATCTCCGACCCTATAAAGTATATATATTCTTGATCAGGATCACCTCCTGAGTTGATATAGCCATGTCCGTCTGTCCGTCTGTCCGTCTGTCCGTCTGTCCGTCTGTCTGTCCGTCTGTCTGTCCGTCTGTCTGTTTCTACGCGAACTAGTCTCTCAGTTTTAAAGATATCGAATTGAAACTTTGCACACACCCTTCTTTCCTTTGCACGCAGTATATAAGTCGGAACGGCCGGGATCGGCCGACTATATCCTATAGCTGCCATATAACTGAACGATCGGAAATGCCATAACTTTGGTGTTTGTAAAGTTAGGAAGTTGGGATTTTCTATGGGTTTTGTATTTGGCTAATCAATCCGACATGCCGAATTTCATAAGGATCGGCCGACTATATCCTATAGCTGCCATATAACTGATTGATCGGAAATGCCATAACTTTGGTGTTTGTAAAGTTAGGAAGTCGGCATTTTCTATGGGTGTTATATTTGGCCAGCCAACCTACCAAATTTCATAAGGATCGGCCGATTATATCCTATAGCTGCCATATAACTGAACGATTGGAAATGTCATAACTTTGGTGTTTTTAAAGTTAGGAAGTTGGGACTTTTTATGAGTATTAAGAATGCATCATATGAATAATTTTGGAGAATATAATTTACAGAGTATTCTGCAAGGGTATATCAACTTCGGCTCCGCCCGAAGTTAGCTTTCCTTTCTTGTTCTTAATATATTTGCTAGACAAAAAAATTTGATTTATGATTTTTATGTTGGCAAATCAAAAATATTTATAAATGAAGTTAAGGTAAATAAATTTATTAATCCATTAATGTAAGTTATCTTTTAAGCACTTGCAAATTTGTAATACAGCCTGGATACACTTTTTCTAATGCAGAAAATAACTTGTGTGACTTAAAAAGTTTCTTGTTTGATTAGCATTTCCCTAAAAGCATTTCCTTCTCTCAATTCTCATTTTCTTTCCGACAGTTGCTCCTGGTTTTCGTAATTTTAAAGAAAACGAGAAGTGAGAGCTCAGTTACATGATTCGTTACGCCCTGAATGGAATGCATGCCTTCGAAATTTTCTTGTTAGTTTTATGCTGAGCCACAGCCAGGACTCAGGACTATTTTGTGCTTGTCAATGCCCCCGCTCCTCGAACTTCGCCCCACTTTCCGTGTCCTATTTCCATCTGCTCCCCATTTCCATTATAATTTTTTGCTCAACATGTTATTGCTGCTGGTGGAGT